TGGGACCCTTGAGTCCACAGGCCGATGCTCTATCCACTGAGCCAAACCGGTTAGGACAATTAATTCCCTTTTAATGTGCATGAATTTCGTGCACTGGGCTACTAGTATAGGATAAAAGCAGAACGACAGGTTGCTATGATGTACACTTAACACCAGGGGGCAGATGCTCAATGCAGGAGCTGCCCCCTGGTGGTCAGTGTGCTCCCACAGGGGAAGCGCTGCTCAACCAGAAGCCCTGAGTCTGGCTCATGGCTGGCAAGCTTGGGGTGGTGGCGGGAGCCTCTCCCGCCTCTGCAGCAGTGCTAAGATTTCCAACTGACGGCTCCAAGACTGCAAGAGGGCACAGGCTGGGCTGAGGGCACCCTGACCCTCCTCCCACTGCCAAGTTTTGTGCACGAGGCCTCTAGTCTTAAAATATAGCTCTTGGCTAACATGACTTTTCCAGCCCTATAAGAGACATTCCACACTTAGCCCTGGGGTAGAAATAGGCTTAAACTTTTCTTTTTTGGGGTGGAACCTGCCAGGAGAGATCCAATCAATATTGAACAGAAGGAAGCAGGGGGGATGGGGCTAACAAATTTCTTCTTCAACATCATAGTACTGAATGGATAAGGAGGCAACTCCCAGGCTTATAGGGTAAGTCTGGTCTGAGCTACACTGTGAGCAGCTAAAGCCTGGTCTCCAAAAACTAGTTGTCACATCTTAACTTAGACCTTGACAACAAGGGATGAGTATAGTATGAGTAGCTAGGAGTCTGGGAATTGACCTGGGCTATGCTACACCAAGATTCTAAGCAAAGCCTCCAACAGGAGCAGCTCCATGTTCCATTCCCAGTCTTAACTCCAGGGTCTTCATGCTACCTTCTAGCAGTCCAGTATCCCACCGGGGTAGGAATAGCCGCAAGAATTAAACTTTTCCAGGGGTAGCTGCATTTAAATGAGTAATTTGTTAAAGCAACTAAATTTGATATGAATTAGGTTGGGGTAGGATGTGAAATAGGTTTGTAGAGGTCCCACTCCTACCTCAACTAGTCTTCTAGGTCAGGGAACAGAATCTCCATAAATTTCTCTCTCCTTTTTCCATTTATGCAGATGCTCAGGGGGGTAGAAAGCTCACCTATGTATGATCCAAACTTTGAGTTAAGTGTTGGAAATATTAAAAATATATAGCAAGCCATGGCTGGTATGGCTCAGTGGTTGAGTGTTGACCTATGAACCAGGAGGTCACGGTTTAATTCCTGGTCAGGGCATGTGCCTGGGTTGAGGGCTTGATCCCCAGTGGGGGGCATGCAGGAGGCAGCTAATCAATGATTCTCTCTCATCACTGATGTTTCTAACTCTCTCTCCCTCTCTGAAATCAATAAAAAAATATTAAAAAATATATAGCAATATATAAATGTATCAAATCAATGTCATATACTTTAAACTTATACAGTGTTATATATATATATATATATCTCAAACATGGCTTACTTGGGGGGGGGGAATATAGAGTACAATGGATTGTGCTGCCCCTCCCCCAACAACTGAATATTTGAAACCTAATTCAAGAATTTTTTTCCTGGAACTTTGGAGTCACCTGTAACTAGATAACAAGTCCACATTCTTACAGATGTTCCAAAGCTTGTTCCAGCCCATGATGGCCAAACTTGGAATCAGTGAGTTTTGGAAGGTGTAGGCTTAGAATCTCAGGTGGCTGAACTTCATAAAAGACTCCACTCCTGTCACTTTCTTGCAAACTCCAGGCACCTTCCATTCGGGAGTCTAGCCATGTGGCTCATCACCTTGGTGAATCCAAGGCTGCCTTCCTTGAGTCAAGACCAAGCTTCATGGCGGTTTTTCGGTACACCTATCGCCAAGATGTCAGAAGCTTCTGTACTCACTTTGCTGTAGCAGGATCTTTTCCCGCTCTGACTTCTCATCCTTCTCCCATTCTGCCTTCTTCTTTGACAACTTATCTTCCATTTCATCATAAAGGCTGTCCTGTGGAGACATAATGGCAACAGAAGCAAAGGGCCCTGAGAAAGGTGCACACTGGCCTAAGGCCCAGCACTGGGCCCTGTCAGCTTCCCTCACCTGAGACCCTTGCTGGGGTGGGGGCCCTATGTGAGTGACTGGGAAAGTAAATTCCAGCCCAGCCCCTTGAGCATGACAGAAGCTTAAACGCCTGGCTCTGCGTGTCTGCAGAGTTTAAAGACAGGTAGTGTTCCCCATGTTAAAGAATCACTTGTCAACTCCCTCTGACTCATGACTCAAAAAGAGCACACAAAAAAACAAAAGAAATGCCCACTAGTTAACGTGACCACTTAGAAAACAAGATGTTTTTCAAAGTGTTCGTTTCCCTCAGTAAATCTAACTTCCTTTGTGGTTAACGTTAAATAAGCCTAACCACTTCATGATGGTGGGACCTCAGAAGGGGGGGCCCAGGACCCGGAAGCTGCCACTCAGAATCCTGACTGCCCTCCTTGCGCGGTTAGCAACAGAATTTACACTGGGCTTGGGCATCAGAGCTCGTTTGTAATTGTGGCCATTTAAATAGAGGCTCTCTCATTTTCAAGGCCGGTGGGCAGCTGTTTCCAGAGAGGTCACACGCTCTGGAGAGGCCCAGATTGAAGCGAACACCAAGTATACATAGGAACTGGGGCAGCTTACCTGCTCATCAACCTGACGCGTCTCTTAGGCTCTGGTCTATGACACTTCCCTGACTGTATGAAGGTACATCCTGAAAAATGAGCTTTGGATTCTAGTTCAAAACTGAAACTATGAGTGGTAAATTGAATTTCAGAGGTGATGCTGGTGCTTTACTTGATTTCCCCCTTTGATAGGATGATCAACTATCCTTGTTTGCCTGGGACTGAGTTGTTTCCTGGGACTCCAGACTTTTGATGCTAAAACCCAAAAGTCCCAGGCAAACCGGGATTAGTTGGTCACCATAGGATGGGGGCTTGCTGCCTTAGCCCTTCCCTGTCCATTCCCTACCTCCCACTCTCTCATCCCCTAGGAAGAAATCCTGCCCTAACTGTCCCTTGGCCTCCATCAAATTAGTTGATTAAATGAATGGGTTATGCCCCGAGATGCTACAGCACTTCCATGTTCTGCTAGACTTCTGTGCATGGGCCACGGAGTTTCAATTGCACTGTACGTGCACGCCCGCATGTGGTATTTTGTGGAAGAGCCACACTCAAGGGGCCAAAGAGCCGCATGTGGCTCATGAGCCGCAGTTTGCCGACCACTGTGCTAGAGCAGTGGTTCTCAACCTTGGCTGCACATTAGAATCACCTGGGAATCTTGTTAAAATCCTGATTTCTGGGCCTCATCCTCCGGAAATTCTGTTTCTTTGTTATGGGGTGAGGCCACAACATTAGTAACAAAGAAACAGAATTTCCGGAGGATGAGGCCCAGAAATCAGGATTTTAAAAAGATTCCCAGATGATTCTAATGTGCAGTCAAGGTTGAGAACCACTGTGCTAGAGGGATACAGTCTTTTTGGGTGGAAATTTGGCCAAATGTATCAAAGACCTTAACAATGGTTACTCCTTTTGACCCAGAACTCTATTAAAATCTAAGATGTCACAAAGTACAAATATGATCAGTCATTGTCTTGGGGCAGTGACAGTTTTTCTTTTTGTTGCTGCTGTTGGTTTATGTATTTCCTTTTAAAACCCCCACTAAAAATAAAATAAAATAGCACTGAGCAGGTACTACTTTTGTAATCACAAACGTATTTTTTGATGGGCTTCTTTAGGCCTGGGTGACTGACTTGTCACGCACGGGAGCCATCATAGTCCGAAGTGCACTCTCCTCCCTGGGCGCAGTTAGTGTGTGCCACTTAGGTGCAAGGATGCTGGGGAGCTGCTGGAATTATTTTCTGGGGCAGAGCTCTAGATTCGTCCCATCATCATCAAGCAAGAGAATGAGTCTTGCTTCTCTTACTCTCATAATCCAATGAGGAGTTCTGGATCTCACCTGATACATAAAAAACATATTCTTCAAATACTTGTATTCCTTTCCCATCTCCTCTGGACAAAAGGAAAACAACAGGATCATCATTATTGCTCTGAAATGCACACTTTCAAATTCAAATGGGAGCTCTCTTGCACACCTTCCCCATGTCAAACTCATCCCTTGGGTGGTAAAACCATGGTGTACCTCAGAAATCACTCTGGAGGCTTATTAGAAACTACTCTTATTAGATGCCTGAACCCCACCCCAACCCTACCGAATCGAGCTCTCAGAGGAGAGCCCCAGTATCTGTCGATAATATGTTTCTCAGGCGATTCTGATGGACACCAAGTCTGAGAACTAAGCCCCAGGATAAACCTGAGTCTTTGGAAGAAGAGAAGCAAAATCTGCCTGCACCTGCCTCTCTCTTTTTAAAATCACACTTCCTAGTGTACACTGATTTTGAAAACAATACATGTTCTCTTTAAAAAAATCTTGGCAATCAGCAAGGTATAAATACCACCTTAAAAAAAATGAAAGGCAATGGAAGGGGAGAAGGCTATAGAATGTCTCCTCTTTGTGGAGATTAGTCTATGAACTCAGAATTCTGAAGAAGACACACTTCCTCTTCTCAGGAACAGCATAAACAATGGGATAAATGGCCAACACAACCCCTATGGATTATGAGGCCACACAAATCATAGTGTGTCAGTTAGAATTTAATGAAGCACCACCATTTGGCTGGTGAGCAAACTTGCTGAATTAGAATAGCATTATATTTGCAGAACTTTAAAAAGTGCTTTCTTATTTTTATCATGCTGATAAAAGGCCAATATTACTATCCTCAATTTCCAGATGGGGAAACTAAGACTTGATACAAAGGGTAAGAAGGACATTGGTAGGCATGGCTTCCCTCTTTTTAGTTTCATTCTCAATCATTCCCTCTTCCTCAGCTTAAGAGGAAACCTTGAAAGTCTAGCTAAAGCCCACTCATGGCCATGAGAGTTCCTCAGCCCTAGACCCACATGGTCAGCCTTCCGCCCTTTCATCATGGTCATTCTTCCAGGTCCTGAACGTACCTAGTTTTTCTTGGGAAGCCAACTTCTCTTCCTTTAAGGCTGCTTTGTAGTTGTTCTCCAACTCACTGAGCTCTGCTGCGTGAGCCTCTTTGAGCTCCCTGTGGTGTCCCGAGAGAAAGTCACAATCATCAGTGAAAAGTCCAGAGTTGAGCTGTTATATTCACCTAATCCCACCTCTCCTCCCTCACACAGAAAGCCAGCGGGCAGGCTGGGGAACCCTCACTTTTTTGAGTCACTTTTTTGGCATTCGTGCAGAGAAGGGGAAAAGGACTCTTGTTTACATCAATCTAGATGGTGAATGGAGCTGGTGGGTGCCATAGATAATGTTAGAGTGCAAGGTCTCTCTAGTCTCCATTCCAGTGTTCAAGATGAGTGTTACAATGAAAGGCTATATGAGTTGTCAAGCCAAGAAAAGACATGGAGGAAACTTAAATGCCTATTAGTAAGTGAATGAAGCCAATTTGAAAAGGCTGCAAACTGTCTGATTTCAACTATTTGGCATTCTGGAAAAGGCAAAGTAACAGAACAGTCAAAAGGTCAGTGCAATAGTTGCCAGGGGTTAACAGAGAGAGAGGGATAAATATGTAGATCACAGAGGATGTTTAGGGTAGTGAAACTATTCTGTATGGTACTATAATGGTGGATACATCTATACTAGTAATAGTGGAATATGCAAATTGTCCGGGATCCCATCACAGTAACGACCAGCAGGCTGCGTGGGATGACCAGGCTGGCAGGAGGGGCAGTAAGGGGCAACCAGGCTGGTGGGGAGGGGGAAGTTAGGGGCGACCAGGCCAGCAGGTGGGGCAGTTAGGGGCGATCAGGCTGGCAGACAGAGGTGGTTAGAGGTGATCAAGCTGGCAGGGGGGCAGTTAGGGCAATCAGGCAGGCAGGTAAGCAGTTAGGAGCCAGCAGTCCTGGATTGTGAGAGGGATGTCCCAGTTTGGAGAGGGTGCAGGCTGGGCTGAGGGGACACCCCCACCCCTGTGCAGGAATTTTGTTCACTGGGCCTCAAGTATAATAATAAAAGTGTAATATGCAAATTGACTGAATGGCTGAACAACCAGCAGCACAACCAGTCACTATGATGTCCATTAATCACCAGGGGACACTCAACCCAGGAGCTGCCCCCAGTCTGCAGGCCCCAGGCCAGCCAAGGCGGGTGCCAGAGGAGGACCCCCAATCGCCCTGCAGAGGGAGGCAACTGGCAGTAGTGGGGGGCGGGGCTGGCAAGCAGGCAGCGCCAGGCTGGCCAAGGCAGGTGCCAGCGCCTGCCCCCCTGCCCGATCACCCCACTGGTTGCCCCACAGATTGGCCCTGATCGCCCACCTGGCCTAAGGACATTACCCGTGCATGAATTTCGTGCACAGAGCCTCTAGTGTCATTATATTTTGTCAAAATCCATAGAATGTGGGTTTGTTTTTTTGTTTTTGTTAAGCCTCACCTGAGGATATTTTTTCCATTGATTTTTAGGGAGAGGTAAAGAAAGAGGGGAAAACAAAGAGAAACATCAATGTGAGAGAAACACATCAATTGATTGCCTACTGCATGAACCCTGACCAGGGAGGAGCCTGCAACCAAGGTACATGGCCATGACAAGAATCAAACCCAAGACCCTTTGGTCCGCAGGCTGATGCTCTATCCACTAAGGCCATAGAATGTGTGTTGACAACACCAAGAGTGAACTCTAATGTATGCTATGGACTTTGGGTGGGAATGCTGTGTCAGTGCAGGTTCATTGAGTGTAACATATGCACACTGGTAGTGCAGGGTGTCAATAATGGCATAGGTCATGTAGATGTGAGGTGAGGGAATATATAGGAACTGTCTGTACTTTATACTCTATTTAACTATGAACCTAAAACTATTCTAAAATGAAACTCTATTAAAAATAAATACGTTAGGAAATAAAAAATAAATAAATAAGTTAATTAATTTTAAAAAATTGTTTTTTAAGGAAACAAGTCTATGACTCCATTAGGAAGACTTCTCTCCACCAGGGCTTCTGAGCCCAGCAGGTAGCGTGGAGGGGATTTTGTGGGCTTCCTCGCCCACACAGACAACACACCTCATTTACTTCCTGTTGATTTGTCCTTGGGGCTCTGGCTCCTGCCCCTCCCATACCTTCTTGCCATTTTGCCCAGGCCCTGACCTAGCAGCCTGGGAGAGCAGCAGTAAGAGTAGAAGAGGAGGAAGGGGAGGAGATGGAGGAGAACCACAGCTGTCTACCACAGAAATCTCATATGCAATTTTTAAAAGATGGCTCTTTGCAGCAACCAACAAAAAGGGAGATTATAATGGGAATGAAACAGTTGGATGAGAGAGTGCAAAACCAGGGGTAACCTTTTCTGTGCCTCAAATCAAACCATCCTGCTCTCCAAAGACATGCATCTCATCTCCCCCACCCCTTGCTACCCAATTCCATTTGACGCTGCCTGAAGTCCAGTGAACTGAAGTCCTGCGAGGATACAGGAGCTTTAGGGTCTTCAGCACACAAGGGCTTGTGCCAGAAAATATACCTGCTCTTGTTTTCGAAGTCCTGCTTCATCTCAGCACACCGGATTTCCATTTCATTGGAGAGCTGCAAGTGAGGCCATCATCAGCCACACAGGATTGAAGACCCCACTCCCACTCGTCTGCAACTTGTGAGAAGCCTTCTGACTCACGGGGTACACCCCGCTCCCTGTGTCTCTCTGTCATCATGAGGGAACAGAACAATTCTTGCCTTGCTCTGTGTGGTCTGGCATGTGATCAGTTTGTAGGATTGGTGCACAGAAACCATGTCTGTCACTACCAGGTTTTGTGAGCAGGCTCGGTCCTCTCTGCTGGACTGTAATCTCTTTGTAAGAGAGTGGCCTTAGACCCTCAGATACAGAATTCAATTGAACAATCATTTCTTAAACAAAGGGCTTGGCCTGGAAGAGCCAAAGAGGTCTATGATTCAGACCCTGCCTTCGAAGAACTGTAAATCCAGTGTTCAAGCCTCGTTGGCAAAATGGCTGGGCTCCAGCAGGCAAGTTTTGCCCACTTCCAGGTGACCTTCCATGCTGGCACATCCAGTCCTCGGCCACTGTCTCAGGAGGAGTGGACACTTCCAAAATAGTTAACACCCACTGCCTGCTGAGACAAGGGTCAGGGGCTTGTCCTTCCCTCTCTGACTGAACCGTGGCACCAGCACTCCTCCCTTGCACAGGGTCACACAACAATTTGGGGTGTTCACAGGTGGAAGAATTTTTATTTTTCGGTGAATGTTAAGGATCACATCTGAGGTCCCTCCATGGAAGTAATCTCTAAATATGTCTTCAGTGAGTGAAAACAGGCATTTTGCCTAAATAAAGGTAAATGCTCTTAGGCTAATTATTTAACTTCCTGAGACTCAATTTTCTTTGGGTAGAAAAAACCCACAAACTTGGCAGGGCTTTCAGATAAACAGAGTAATGACTCATTAGTAAGGGAAGGTTCAGTCTGAGTCATAAGCTGGGTCCCTGTAGGATTCAGAAGCATCTAGGGTGCATGAGAGGGTGAAGGCTGGGCCTGCTGGGAATTCAACCTTTACAAGTGCCTTTCAATAACAACAGGCAAGGTGGGGGTGGGTCTGATTATGGCTCTGGTTTATCACTCCAGTGCAGGCCACCAGGCACACCTGCTCGAAGTGGGGAAGAAGACATTATGATAAAACCGATGGTAAAATCTAAAGGAGGTTTCACCAAAATCCCCAGGAAACCAAAGAGTGTCATTTACATCAGCGAAATTTGGGCTTTGGTAGTTTCAGTAGCAACAGGAAGTGGGTACTAAAGGCTTCTGGGTAGTTTTTGAGCAACACTGGAAGCACTGACCGGCGTGGTGCCTAAGCAAGAGCCTCCACAACCTCTGAAGCGTAACTCACCGCCAGGCGGGAAATGCCAGCGCCCCCTCGTGTGGAGAGGACAGTGGTGGTGAACACCCTGCAGGCACTGGGGGAACTTACAGAAGCTCAGCTAGGCCTGGAGGAAGGACTTGAGTTCTTGCAATTATGGAGGAGGATGGAGACAGAGAAATAGTATTGGGTGGCCCCAGTCCTATGCTCAGAGCTCTCACCTGGGCAACGTGGCTCCTATGAGTCAGGTACTTGGCAGCATGCCTGGCAGATAGCATGATCTGAAAATCTTGGTCTTTCCTGTACCCACAGAGACGTCAGCTAGCTTATGGATCACTCACCGTTGTGTTGGCAGACTGGTGGTCTCTGTTCATTTGCTCTATTATCATCGTCAGCTCTGAGATCTGCTCTTCGAGGTCAGTAATGATATCAGTCCTATGGGATAAGTAATTCTTCAGTCACCCACAAAGCTTTCTCATGCCAGTCAGGCCTCTTCCTGAGCATGACTGGATGTGTTCTGGTGAGAGCCAAGCCATACCATCTGTACCTGTTCCACTATCACTGAGGTGGGGAGAGAGGGGTAGAGGAGTGGAGAGAAGGAATGTGGCAGTAGGGTGGTTGAGCCTCAAACATGGCCCTTTTGTGTAAGTTAGCCAGAGCTGAGTGGCCTATTGAATGGAAGGGAAAGTGGAATATGTCAGAAACCTATTAGGGTTTGACCTTGATTTGGTAATGATAGTTGAAATGGAGGGGGGAGAAGTTCAGAAAATTAGGAAATGAGAAGGTGGGGAATAGGATTGATGCTGACAGTGAGTCATAGGCAAGGAACGGGCCAGAAACTGGATGAGGAAGAGATTTAAGACAGTGGCTTTCACCAGTTAGAGAAAAGTATCACATGATCTCACTCATATGTGGAACCTAATGAACCAAATAAACTGATGATCAAAAATAGACCCAGAGCCCTAGCCAGTTTTGCTCAGTGGGTAGAAGAACATCAGCCTGTGGACTGAAGGGTCCTGGGTTTGATTCCGGTCAAGGGCATATGACCAGGCTGTGTAGGGGGTATGCAGGAGGCAGCTGATCAATGATTCTTTCTCATCATTGATGTTTCTCTCTTTCTCTCCCTCTCCCTTCCTCTCTGAAATCAATAAAAAATAAAAATAAAAAAATAGACCCAGAGACATAGAAGTATGAACAGACTGTTGAAACTCAGAGGGAAGGCCGGGGAGGGTGAGTGGGAAGAGATCAACCAATGAACGTGTATGCATATATGCATAACCCATGGATACAGACAATGGCATGGTGAGGGCCTGGGGAAGGTGGACGGGAGCGGGCTGAAAGAGATTAATGGGGGGGGAAAGGAGGATGTATGTAATACTTTCAATAATAAAGATTTAAAAGAGAAAAAAAAAGATTTGAGAGAGAGAGAGAGAGAGAGAGGTGCTTTCAGACTTGATAAAGGTTTTCTGTGCTTCTGGGTCTGCGGCCTCCATGATGTCTAAGATTATCCAGCTCTGCTTGGTTGATCTGGAGTAGACAGGGTGGAGGGCAGTGCTGTGTACAGTGCAGCAGAGAAGAGGTCTTTGATTTAAGAGGTTGAGAAAACAAAAGGATGTGGGAAGAGAGGACATCAAGGCATGAAAGAGAAGAAAGGGTATGAGAAAGTTAAACAATAGGGAACTCTTAACATGATCTTCAACATAAACACTCACAGCTTTACCAGGGAATAAAACAATTATGGACAGCATTTTATTATGCCATAATTGGTGACAACTTTCTTATTGAGGCCAAGAGGTGCTTGAGGGTGCTGGCTTGACTGTGGGTACATGGCCCATCTCCTGGACAGGGCCTTGGATGTGCAGCAAAGAAAACAGGGCCTGAATGTTCGCACTGGAGGGAACACAGAGACTGGAGTCTGGTTTCTCTAGGCCAGGTCAGATCAGAGTGACTTCCTGCATGGCTCCTCTCAACAGGGGCCTGTGTGTCCTTCAGCCTTATCCTAGTCTGAATCCCTTCCCAAAGAAAACCACTGCTAACAGCTTGGTCATATCCTTTCTATATACCCATATTCCTACATACCTAGGTGATGTGTGTGTGTGTGTGTTCTGTTGCTATTGTTGGTCTTTTAGATTTCTGTCTTGAAAAATAATTTTCATAGCAATTTAAAGCCCAAGGAAGAGACACTCATTGGGGAGCCACTGCAATAGCGTAGGTAGATGGGGAAGGGGAAGGAGAAGACATGAGAGATTTAGGAGGTGGAATGTAAAGGGTGTGGGGAACGCTTTTACATGGCATTGGAGGATAGAGAGTGGGTAGTACTTGAATGACAGAGAGGATGACAGTGTACTCAACTGGGAGGGAGTTAGACCAGAATATTCCAAGCTACATCTCCCAGAGGCATGAACTGAGTAGTACCTTTGGACATAATAAAAAAGGGATGTATACTCGGGCCTCCCAGAAACCCCGACTTTATTTTTAGTTCTCACCCAACAAATTTAGATTATTGTATTAATATCTCATCAGTTCATTACTGTCAGGAAAAACTGCTCTCCTTTAGTACGAATTATACTACACCTAATCCTTTTCCAGAGCTGCTGAGCTGACCTTCATCCTGACTAGAATGGGATTGGAGCAGAGAGCCAGGGTGGAGAGGAGCAGGCAGAGGGCTGAGGCATGAAGGGACTCGCAGCACCTCCAGCGCAGGACTGGGAGTAGACATTAGGCGCTTATCTTTGAGGCCAGGCTGAGCCACCTCGGGAGAGGTTCGAGGAGCTGGATGTTGGTCCAAAGACATTACCTGCGAATTCTGATTTTGTCCATGATCTCTGATTTCAAACGCTTTTTCCTATCAAACATCTCATCTCCCAAAGTGACGGAAATCTGCTCCCTATTCCGAAAGAGGCGATAGCCAGGGCACACGTTGATCACTTCCTGGGCAACAGGGTGGAAGGCAAGAGAATATTGCAGAGAGCTGAGATTCCTCCAAATCCACTAGTGCCCCTATCACATCTACAAACAGAGACTTGAGATGGACTGTGCCCTCCCCAGTTACCATTCACCCTCGTATCTCCATATTTCTCTCCTGAGATCCAATTGTAAGACTCAACTAGATCCTGGATGTCTCCCTATGCCTTTCAAGCTAACATTTCCAAAATCCAACCATTGTCACCCACTCCACATTCTACACCCAAACCCTGTTCCTCCTCTAAGTTCTCTATCATGGCCAGAAGCCAGGAGGCAGCTGAACATTTGGAATTAGACAGGCCTGATTTTAAATCCTGGCTCTGCCACCAACCATAGTTATTCAACATCACTATGCCTCATTAGAAAATAAGGATAATAACTCTTCCTCAAAGGGATTTTGTGAAGCTAAAACAAAATAACATGAGAAAATGCCTAGCACAGGTTCAAAAAAAAACTTTTTCAGTCAGTTCCTTCTCTGTCTCCTGTCAGATGCAGGGCTACCAGCCGCCATAGATTCGGATGCGACTGTACCTTCTACAGTTGTGGACACCCCTGCAGGCGGCCACAGGTCCTGCCATTGTTATCTCCTAAAATAAGAGATAACAATATCTCATCCTCACCCTCTCCTCTCCCAGCCTTGCCCCTGGTGGAGCTGGAGGCCACCACCATCTGTCTCCTGGGCTCAGAGCTACCTCCCCAGCGGGCCAGTCCACCATCAGTCTGGCTCCCTTAAGTTCATCATCCTCTCCACCTGGAGGGCTATGACATTTTGGGGTTTTTTTCCTGCCCATTAAGGGATCGCATGATCCTCTTTGAAGGGGGTTAGGGGAGAAAGGAAAATAGACAAAAGCAGAAAGTAGTAAAAGTATCAATTATATCCCACCAGAGGGTGTGTTTTTTCCCCGTAAAATGTAAATCTTACCTGGTCACATGCCTGTCAGACACATAAAGGTTCCAAGACATTAAAAGGTTTGGGCCCAAACTTCTAAGCAGGTGTCAAGATCCTTCAGGGTTTGCTCCCCATCTCTTTCTCCAATGTTCTCCTGCCCTACCCCCTCTCAGATGCCTTGGAGGCCCCTTGCCCAGCATTTGTGGTTTCCTACACCTGCGCATGAGTTGTCTCCTGTCCCGGACTGACTGCCACCACCTGGTTTTCCTGGCACACTCTCCTCACCCTACACAAGGCAGTAAAGAGGTCATTAAATATTCTCTCTGGGGTCTGGCAGAGCCGAGTCCAAGTCCTGGTCCTACACTATATGCAGTAATTCCAGCACCTCCTCATAGGATTGTTGCAAAGATTCAATGAAGTCAATACATGTAAAAGACCCATGCCTGCACACAGTAGGTACTCAATAACAGTACATCCCACAACCCTCTTTCCATTTTTACTCACAGAAGGTAAATTATTGCTCTCTTCTTGTTTTCCTAAGTGGGTTTTCACTCTGCAAGAGAAATGCATGCTCAGAATCAACCAATGAGCAAAGAGAAGTTCCAAGATCAGCTGTGCCCTGACCCCACCACTCATCTGCAAAATGTGACATTCCTGGGATAATATGTGTGGCCCATCAGTTCTCAAAATATTATACTTTAGAAAATAGAGAATATTTAGTGGTCCAGAGATCATTGGTACATAGGTTGTAATAAAATGGCAGGTAGTGAAAAAGTGGGAAATCAGCTAGTCACTAGTCTAATAGTAGAACCATTTCTAAAATAAGGGCCAAGAAGCTTGGAGTGAAATTCAAAGGGATGATGCATAATCATAAATGCACACATTTTTTTAGTGACATATATGTGATCTGTACAACCACTTTGCTTTTCATTTGCACCAGAATTCCATGTTCTGGGACCCTGAAATTCCAAGTTAATTCAGGATAAGCAAAGTGTTACTATTTTGAGATTTGGTACAGATTTCCTGATCATAATAAATTTTTGTTTCAGGTACAGAAACCTGAGTATATCAGGTACCCAAATATCAAAAAAGTATTTATAAGGAAGTTCACCTAGAAGGTTGAAATATTAGAGTAACTACCTTCTGATGTGCCGACAAGAATAGGTAGGCCTCTCCCCTTGGCCTCTACAATACCACACGTGTACACAACCACTGGCCAACTGCTGTGAAGAGAGACAACTGAAACCTGCTCTGGAATTTCCAGTTCCCCACAATCAAAACAACCGCACTATCATCAGGGGCTGTGGAGTCGGTTACTAGGATGGGACTGGTCCAGAGTCCGTGGCTGACTCTGGATGTGGGGAATGGGGCTGGAAGGACTTTTCCTGGTGGAAGCAGTTCCATCTTGGTTCATAACCATCAGTCTGGTTTAGATCCCACATCTCCCACCCCCAGAGGGGGCCTCCAGAGAAGCACTGAGAAAACAATTCCAAGGATTTGGCTGGCTACCTTAGAGGTGACCACCAACCTTTGATTTTAATTTTCACTGACAAAAAAAAAAAGTCTACGTGTTAAGAAATGGGCATGAGTGCATAATATACACTGATATTTCAATGAGGTCCACATGTAATTTAAGATTTAAAATCATTTAAAATGCAACTTAACTCAACCATATGTTCCTAGTTCAATTGTTCATAATGGATAATTTGGCTTGTTTTCTCTGAATTTAGGAAAACCTTGCTGGGAAACCACTGGATGGCCAATCTCTTTAAAAAGCTGACCCTGGATTTGAGTTTATGTCATTTTTTGCTCTTAATAAATCTCATTGAACAAACTGAGATCTTCCACAGCATTTCTTTAACTTTGGAGCTTCTATGTGGCTACGTAGATACTCATTTTGTCAGAAAATGATGCTTCTCTCATTGAAAAGTAAAAGGTAAGGTTGATCCAGAATGACTCATCTTTACTCTTTTTGTCCTTGTCAATCTGTTACTCAGATTACTCTGATTATAATGACCAAATTGTGACACTTTGTTGACATCGCTGAAAGCACTTCACAATTTCTCATTTAATGAATTCAATGAGTAGTTCATATATGCAAACCACAGCGCTCCGTACCAAGAGAAATGGAATGAGATGTGATAGTTTTATTTAAGAGATGAAAAAAGGCACATTAATACTGAAACTAGAAGACGAAAAAGAATTAAGTGCTGTAGAGAAGTATAGATAAAGAGATTTTCTAAATGTGTCTCTCAGGGATTGAGAGTGCTCTGCCACTGCCATTTTTCAAGGCCTCTGATGTACACAAAAGCAAAAGCGAAACAAAAACAAACCCCAAGAATTGCTAAAATAGGGTTATAAAAATTGAGTTACAGTTCATGTTTAAGAACTGAAAACTTAGAACACAAAAAGCACATTGTATGTCTGCAAGAAAATGATAGGATTCACAAAAAGGACGGATTCAAAGTCCAGGTGGCATGTGTGAGGACGGAGGCCTAAGTTTGTCCCCATTTGGAGGTCATGTCAACGTTTGCCTGGGCCTCTTCCCCAGAGTGCGGCAGCGGCGGCCCTCCTGTGTGGCTGCTCCATTCCCCTTCCCAAGTGCTGGCCAGAGCCAGAGCGGAGGACACATTCCCCCGTGTGTGTTCTTTGAATTGGTTTTAGAAGACATCATGTTTCAGGGAATACGTTGCCTTGAATGGTCTTACTGGAAAGTTATAAATACAATCAGCAGGTCTTTGATAGAGAATTTAAAAATACCCACAAATAATTGGTGTTTATTGCATGTAACATTATAATATTTAAAATTGTTTTTCTTGAGATATTTAAAAAAATACCCACAAAGTGTTCCTCAGTGTATTGCAAAGCCAGAGGAGGACAATGTTGGCCGGGGCTAATGTTGGTGGTCAGAGTGGAGCTGTGGGTCTTAGTGAGGTCTCTCCCAACAAGCACTGGATAGCTGAGGCCTTGAGCTTGTCTGTTGAAATGGAAGTTAGATAAGATCCACAGGTAGGATCATGCCTGCAGGGTGCCAGCACACAGAAGGCAGGCAACCAGGAAACGTTTCATACAGGCATTCCGTGGACTCCTTATTATGAATGGATCCAATTCCCTTCAGGCTTTCCACCATCACTCCATGGAGACAATTCTCTTCGTTGTCACCCAGTTGCAGGCTACTAAGTCCAACAGTACTGCTTGGCCCTCATCTTAACTGACTAGCAGCAGTTTTTAACACAGATAATTAGACCCTCCTTCCTGGAACATTTTTGTTTTGCTTCCAGAACACCAGGTAGATGATTCTTCATCTGCCTCACTGGCCACACCTTCTCGGCGTCCGTTCGATCCTCTCATCTCTTCCACCTCTCAACAGGAGTGCTCTGGGCTCAGTTCTCCCACTTCTTCCTACCGCTATCTCCACTCCTTGCCTTGGAGATGTCACCTGGGTGCAGGGCTCTAAGTACCATATGCTAATGACTCTCAAATGTGTATCCGCAGCTCAGACCTGCTTACCCAGCTGCTTACTTGACATTGCACTTGGAAATTTAGAGAGATCTCAAACTGCCTAAGTGCAATCCCCTACATATGTGCGCCTCATGCAACCTCCCCAGTCACAGAAAATGGCAATTCCATCCTTCCCGGGGCTCAGCCACACATCCTGAAGTCAGCTTTGATTCCTTTTGATTTTTTTTCTCATACTTTATACCCATCCCATTAGCAGATCCTATTGGTTTCTACCTTTAGAATATATCTAGAATGCGACCACTTCTTAGCACCTCTACTGTTTCCACCAGGTTCAGTCATCATCATCCCTTGGTGGGGTCCCTGCAATTGCACATTATCTCCCTTGGCTTCTCCAAGGCTTCTCCTCTTGGTCATTGGAGTAAGTCTTCATTCTCAGTGCAGTAGTCAGATTAGTCTTTTCAAAATGCAAGTTAGATCATGTCACTCTTCTCAGAATCCTCTGTGGCTTCCCAGCTGTTATGGGCTAAGTTGTATCTACCTCTCCCCACTCCAAATTCATATGTTGAAACCCTATCCCCTGTTATCTCAGAATATGGCTGTATTTAGAGATAAGGCCTTTAGGTAAAATAAGGCCATTAAGGTGGACCCTAATCCAATCTTTCTGGTGTTCTCATAAGAGAGATGAGGATGCATAGAGAGACCCTAGGGAGGCACACGTACAAAGGAAATGTCATGTGAAGAGGCAGCAAGCAGGCAGCCAACGGCAAGCCCAGGAGAGAGTCCTGAGAGGAAACCAGCCTGCCAGCACCTAGCTCTTGGTATTCCAGTCTCCAGGACTGTGAGAAAATATGTGTCTGTTGCTTAAGCCACCCCGTCTTTTGTTGTTGTTGTTGTTGTTGTCATGGCAGCTCTAGCAGCTGATACACCATCCCTTTCAGAGTAAAAGCCAAAGTCCTTACAGTGGCCAGCAAACTTCACTGTGTAAATTTCCTTTTGCTGCCGTAACAAATTACTCTAAGTTAAGTGGCTTTAAATAATACCAATTTATTATCTTACAGTTTTAGGGTCAAGTCTGCAAGGGGTCTCACTGGGTGGAAACCAAGGTTCTGGCAGGTTGGTATTCCTCCTGGAGGCTCTAAAAGAAAACCCGTTCCATTGCCTATTTTTCTCCATCTTCAAAGCCAATAATTGCATCACTCCAACCTCTGCTTTTATCGTCACATCTCCTTCTCTGACACTCTGACTTCCTCTTTCACATGTAAGGACCTTTATTGTTACCTGCAGCCCGGCTAGCTCATCCAGGGTAATCTGTCATGGTCAGCTGATTAGCAAACATAACTTCACCTGTAATCTCAATTGCCCCCTGGCAAGTAACAGAACATGGTCACAGTTTCCAGGGATTAGTGTACAGACATCTTTGGGGAACCATTATGACGCCAACCACATTCATCACCTGTTACTTCTCTGAGCTCATCTCCCACCACTCTACCTTCACGTCCTCCATTCCCACCACATTGGTCTCTTTGCTTTCCTGGAAAAGGCGAGGTGTGGCAAGCGAGTTCCTGCTCACAGCCCTTGTGCTTGCTGCTCCCTGACAGGAGTACTTGGCCCAGATGTCACTGTGGCTCCCACTGCCCCCTTTACAGAGGGACTTGCCCTGATCTCCATACATGAAATCATGACTGTCAACTCCAAGAGAGCAGAGGCTCTGTTGTGTTCACTGCTGTTTCTCGCACCTGGAAAAGTGCTTAGCAAATAATAGATGCTCAATAAATATATTCTAAATAAATAAACAGAATACAAAGACTCATGCAAAGACAAAATTAAGTTATATTTATAAGCTTATAAAATATTGGTAAATTTTTAAATTTATAAGTAAAAACATATGCAATTTGTAAACAATCTTAGACACAGGAAAGAAACCCGTAAAAGAGTGAAACACCACCAATGGGAGGCTCTTTGCCTTTAACAGGCATCAAGAACTGTGCCCTTGCCCAGCCAGGTGTAGCTCAGCGGTAGAGCGTTGACCTAGGAACCAGGAGGTCACTGGTTCGATTCCCGGTCAGGGCATATGCCCAGGTTGCAGGCTCGATCCCCAGTGGGGGGTGTGCAGGAGGCAGCCAATCAATGATTCTCTCTCATCATTGATGTTTCTATCTCTTTCTCCCTCTGCCTTTCTCTCTGAAATCAATAAAAATATCTAAAAAAAAAAAAGAACTGTGCCCTTTTAGGGCAGGAGACAGTTGTCAGGGCACCTTAGCTGAGAGCTCAGTTGTGGTGATTCTGCAAGCTGTGGGTGCAGAGGGCCATAGAATCTATCTGTAGGATCTGAGGTTTGGGGGACATCACAGTGGATTCTCTGACATTCCTGGCAGCAATGAGTTCAAGTCGCAGGCAAGGGTGTGAAGGCCAAGGAAGGAGATTGTTTTATTCACGTACCTCAAACCATTCCCGCCCCGTGCACATGCAGATACTTACTTTGGGGAGACAAAAGGTTTTGTTGGTGGTTGGACATAATTTTGTTTTTTTGAAGCTGGAGGAAGAAGAGTTAGCCTGAAAGGAAAAAATAGACAGCAAAAAGGGAAAACTGGATATTCCGAACATTGTTTTAGCACTCCCAGATGAGGTACGTCTCCACAGTGACCCCCAAATTAGAATACATGGGCTGACAACAGATGATCTTTGGCAACCTCAGGCTGAAGACCCTAGCACTTGCTCACTGTCCTAGGGGGTCCCGGGTTGGCAGCACAGTTTGCCCCCAGTTCCCAAAGCTCTTGGTCCCAGATGGAGGGGCAGCTGCCATGGGGTCCTTTGGTTGGAAGCCCTCCTCTCTCTGCTCAATCATCTCTGAGATTCCTCACGTACAATGACACTGAGCCTAGTAGGACCGGCTAGAGCAACGTGCAGCTAACAGGCCGACAGGGAAAGCCGTGTAGAGCTAGGCTTTCTGGCCCCCTTGGGATCTTGGCTACCAAACTGTTTTGGGAATCTTGTGAGAGAAAGAAGGCTGCAAATGGACCCCAAGCCCCCAGGCCCTTGCCCATTCCAGGTAATGCTTACTTGGGCTTCCCTGTAGAGGTTTTTTTTGGTGGCTGAGGGGTCTTGATTAGCTTCCGTGGTTCCAAGTTCCAGGGGTCCCAGCAGGTGCAGTAGATGAGAGGGTTGTGGTACATGGTAGGCGGTCTGGGGCAGTCTTGGCTGCTAGGTCAGGAGGCCCTTGCTGAAATGGGGGGGAGAACAGCAGAGTCATACCATCCAGTCAAAGCAACAATGCATAGAGACAAGCTGGGAAGAACCCAGGGAAGGTCCAAAGCACAAATGGTAGATTCTGGAGGCTGCTGATCTGGTTCAGGGTCTTGACTATAGAATCACACCTCTTTCCTTGCCATCTCAGGCTTGACTTGAAAGCAACTTAAAATTTGCTCTGAGTGCTTACTGTGAGCCAGGTATACAGTAAGTGATCAATTATTCTTTTCTTTTTAAATATATTTGTATTGATTTCAGAGAGGAAGGGAGAGGGATAGAGAGTTAGAAACATCAATGATGAGAAGGAATCATTGATTGGCTGCCTCCTGCATGCCCCACACAGAGGATAGAGCCCACAACCTGGGCATGTGTCCTGACCGGGAATGAGCCATGACCAGGTTCATAGGTCGGCGCTCAACCACTGAGCCACTCTGCCTGGGCTAAACTACCCGTTTACAGATGAGGATACTGAGGCTCAGAGAGCTCATGGAGGTAGCAAGTTACAGGGTAAACAGTCCACCTGACTCCTAAGCCCTTGCGCTTTCATCAGGTCACATTAACTCTCACTGAAGTAAAGAGAAATCCCTTTGGCGGGTCCTGCACAGGGACTTTCCACACAGAACTTGGGCGTGGAAAATGAGCTCTGTTATTCAAATTAAACTGGATCTCCCGGTTTCTCATTCCTGGTCGCCTGCCTGAGTCACAGTCAAAACGCTGCCTTTTTGGCCCTGTAAAAAAAAAAAAAAATCACACACAAAAATCTCCATTATGAAAGCTTGTGTGAAAAACAACTACCAGATAAACATGATCACACACGATTACACTTATTATCCCTTCCCCTCCGCTCCCCGCTCCACAGAATCCCACTAAAACGAGAGCGCAGGGTTAAAATAGGCTGTTTCATAAAAACGAAAGAGAATGAGAGAGGAGACAGTACCGCACAGGTGATGTCAGGACACGCTTGGCACAGTAACTTCCTCACTGAGCACACCATAGGCAGCTGCAGCGTGTATGTCTGCAAAGGGGGTATGAACCAGAAGGAGCCAAATCCCAAGACTCAGAACTTGGAACTGGGAGATTATCTGATGGAACATATGGGCATTTCACAGGTCCCCCTTGGGAAGTCAAATAATGCTCCGTCGCCCCTAAAACACAAAAATCTCTGGAACCTGTGAATAGGCTACCTTTTTGTGCCAAAGGCTTTATAGCCATGATTAAGTTAAGGGTTTTGAGACGGGAAGATTATTTGGATTATTAGTGTGAGCCCAAGGTAATCACAAGCATCCTTATAAAAGGAAGTTGGGGTGTGGGGGTCAGAGTCAAAAAATGGTCAGGCAGGAGTGACCAAGAACGGGCCATAAGCCAAGGAAAATGGGCAGCCTTTAGAAGCTGGAGAAGGCAAGGAAATGATTCTCTTATAGAGCCTACCGAAGGAAGGAGGTCTTGCCAATACCTCGATTTTAACCCATTTTCAGATTTCTGGTCTCAGGATGGTAAGATAATAAATTGACGTTGTTTTTTTGTTTGTGTTTTTTTTAAAATATACTTTATTGACTTTTTACAGAGAGGAAGGAAGAGGAAAGAGAGTTAGAAACATTGATGAGAGAGAAACATCGATCAGTTGCCTCCTGCACACACCCTACTGGGGATGTGCCTGCAACCAAGGTACATGCCCTTGACCGGAATCGAACCTGGGACCCTTCAATCCACAGGCCCACGCTCTATCCACTGAGCCAAACTGGTCAGGGCTTGATGTTGTTTTAAGTCACTGAATTTGCGGTAATTTGGCACAGAGCATTTGTAATAATAATGAAAAACAAACAGAAAATTTAGAAAAAACTGAGGGGAAGACAATGAAGGGAGGATGAACAAGTGTTAAATCCTCATCTACCATAGCAGGAATTCAATGGAGAATGTCTAAAAATTAACAAATGGGATAGAGATAAATTATTTAGAAGTGTGAAGCTAAGTTTCAAAGTAGTAGCTAAAAATGTTGAAAATAATGGCCCCTTGAGAGCACACTGAGGAGCAGAACTGAGAAGAAGGGCGGGGCAGAAACTGTGACTTCTCATTAATGAATGTGTAACACAATTTGATTTTCAAATGCCAGTGGGTTGATAAAAAATTAAATCTACCACCAAACATCATGTTATGGGAGCGCAGAGACCAGTAGCAGCATTACAATGACAGTAGATTTAACTCCAATTTCTAAGTCAGTGACTGGTTTCCACTAGTACACTGGAATAAATTTGTTTACGAAATCAGCTGAAAAATGAAACACACATTTTTTTCTCTAACATGACTGCTGCTTGAGAAACCCAGATAGGTGGTCTAATGACTTTTAGAGCTAAAGGGGACCTTAACATTAAACCCATTTTACAGATGATGAAACTGAGACTCAAAGGCGTGCAGCGACCCTGGGACCCTTCACGGGCTCCTTTAGTAGCACAAATAGGTACAGTTAGCTCCTGCTGAGAGTACCATGCAGATGCGGGGGGTGGGGGGCGGGTACCCAACACCTGCACCTCGCCCTCAGGAAGCGTGCAGGTCCCGGGGGACCGAGCGAGCGGTGCAGCAGGGCAGGCAGGGGGGAGAGACAG